CTTGGAAACACTAAGAAAGAATATAGTACATAATTAACTGCTGTTCTGTTTTTGTAGCCCATGATGCATTATTTTAGGCAATAAGCATAAGATATAATGCGCACAGAATCTGAATGTACGGAACAAAGAAATCAATTCTATCTTAAGGCTACAAATGAACATTTGCAGTGTATGGTTTTATTTTCATCTATATATTTATTTTTACAGGAAGGCTCTTGAATCATCACAAATGGTGATTTTCAAGGATATGTATGAAGCAGAGTATTTGTTTTTGCTCCTATTGGCAGAGTGAAAAGTTGCATGCAGCTTTTTTTCCTCATTTCCTTCCTAGCGACAGGCAAAATGCTGGTTTGAATAACCGTTTAATCTCTACCAACCTCTTTGAGTTTCCCAAACCAAAGCTTGCCACATTAATCTGGTACTTACAGTCTGAATTTTATGCCAGTAATACTATAATAGAGCAGGATATAAAATATATTTATTAAATTTATTTAGCATTTTTATAAGGTGGCCTGACTCTCTGTAGCAAATTTACAACAACGAGAAAAGAAATTCATGGACATTCATAAGAAATAAAAGTAGCACCTTTAGAAATACACAGTTTTCTCACTGGGACTCCATTTCCCCATGTAATCCTTGGAGAATACCCAGGTTTTAAAGGCCCATTGGAAGTTTAATTTCAATGACTTTTGGCTAGAAAAAATACATTTTTTTATTATTACATTTTATTAAGTATGTCTGTGTGGTATCGCCTTTTCCATGCTAGTTAGGCAGGTATGCAGTCATTTCCCAGAATTCTCAGCAGAGGACATGTGGAAGATGTGAATTCTGGAAGTTTAGTGTCACATATCTGCAAAGGTGAAGTTCAGCAGGTTCTGACCAGTTCTGGAGAACCAGTAGCAGAAATTTTGAGTAGTTCGGAGAACCGGTAAATACCACCTCTGACTGGCCATGCCCCCATCTATTCTCTGCCTCCCGAGTCCCAGCTGATCGGGAGGAAATGAGGATTTTGCAGTAACCTTCCCCTGGAGTGGGGAGGGAATGGGGATTTTACAGTATCCTTCAACTGGAGTGGGGTGGGAATGGAGATTTTACAGTATCCTTCCTCTACCATGCCCACCAAGCCATGCCACACCCACCAAGCCACGCCCACAAAACCGGTAGTAAAAAAATTGGAATCCCACCATTGCATATCTGTAATGTAATGTACTTGAGAGAAGATTAGCATATGTTAAAGAGTGGTGAGTGATCCGCTATAGCTCAGGTTGGCAAATCTGTTGGGCCAAGGAGACTATTTGTAATGTTGAAAATACGTCATGGTTGCTCTCATAAAAATAGCTGCCACTAAGCAGCTTAGCCATGTCCAACATGCTTGTCATGGTAGATGTGAGCAATCATAAAGCATCCATGCACCAAAAGGGAAACTGACACTCATCCTCTAAGGATGTTCCTTATCACCCAGAATATATTTCATTTCATTTCATCTTAGCTTAGCTTAGCTTACTTTTTCTTATTTTTCTGGGCATCTGTATATACCTTCAACAACCACTGGGGTATTGCCATCCTCTATTTTCTAACAATGCCTATCAAATAACTTTTACATTTCCAGCATTGACTAAAGGATTCATACTTCCTGTTTATCCAGCAAGAAGTTGGTCCACCAACCAATTCAGGAGAGAAATGTCATTATCAACATTTAGCTTCCAGCCACAAGAAAGGAAATTTTCACTCATGTTTTCTGGCTCCAGAGTAGGTTTTTTATTCTCTCCAAGTCTGCAGATCCCCAGTAGCATTATTTTCTAACCCTAATAGAGTCTATTTTTCCTTTAGTGATAAGTAGCAAACTCCCTAACCTTAACCCAAAAATGGAGTTGCTATCTCCTAAGGTTAGGTATTCTGGTGCCTATTTTGACTTCCACTCATCATCAGCTACAGTCCAGTGGTAAAATATTCAAAACATCTGGAAGGCATCAAGTTGCCTACCACTGTTCTAATCAATAGATTTCAAAATATTTCAGTAAATCTCCTTTGGATGGTTGGATTCTGTCAACAGAATGAAAGAATTTATTAATAGAGACTCTTTTTTTAAAAAGCATTTTAGCATTCTTCTTCGCCAAGAAGAGACTTATTAATATTTTTAAACTAAATGGGCTTCTTAGTACATACCATGTTTTCCCGAAAATAAGACCCTGTCTTATATTTTTTTTGAACCTCAAAATAAGTGCTTGGCCTTATTTTCGAGGAGGTCTTATTATTTTGGGGCACGTGGAGCAAGACAGGGCTCCTCTTGCCATCTTACCTGATTTCCAGCTCTGTCTCCCTAACCCTAACCAGAGGAAATGGTGGAGACCGGCTGTGCATGCATTTAAATATTTTCGGGAAGGGCTTATTTTCAGGGGGGACTTATTTTAGCGCATGCACTTAAAAGCCCAATTGGGTTTATTATCCGGGGAGGTCTTATTTTCGGGGAAACAGGGTATATTTTATAACTGTTCTGAGATATACTGTGGATGATAATCTGTGCAAATAGTTATGGCAATTATGTTATGACACCAGCAAATTCTTCCTGTGAAAGCAACCAAAAAATAAGAAGATGAGGTCCTGGTATTTCTATTTAAGACTGCCTGACTCATCGGGTATGCATGAATTGTATCTGATTGGTTTCAGAGATAGGTAGTTCCTGAAACGGATAATTTCACCTCTTACCCAGAGCTGAAACAAGTGAATTACGAAGAAGCATGCATAATTAGGCCATCTGTAGACATGTTCAGGAGACAGAGATTACCCATGCTTTGCCAGCTTCCAGATCATTACTAAAAGTCAGAGATGTCATTAGAATGAACAATTTCATTCTTTCTCTAAGTAATGAGAAACTGATAGGTGATGTAAAATACTCTGTTGGAGACCAGTTGAAGCAGGTAAGAAATATTTCCCTGTGTTTTGAATTAGGAGTGTGTGAAACCATTAGCATGCTCTGCCAGGCCTAGTTTAATGGAAAGGTCTTGGAGGAAACTTCTGCAATTCTCAGTTTTAATGTTCTTTAAAAGTTTAAAAGGAATCTTAATCTCCTTCTTTTTTTTTTTAATGTTTGACTTATCTCAGACAATTTGAAACAATCATGGATATTTTACAGTGATGTGATAAACAGCGTGATATGTTATTTCATAAATCATAAACTTCTATTAGTGATTATGTTTCTGAAAGTTGCTAAAAATGGGAAGAAATGGGAGGACTTATGGTAATTGTGATGGCGCCTATGAATGATTGATGGCTTTATTATTATTGATTTTATTACATTTAGCATGGATGTTTTGTTGTATTGCTGTTGGTTCAAAATGCTTGATTCGATGTGGTAGATATAAACTGAATGAACGAATGACTGACTAAAATAATAAAGAGGGTAAACAAAGGATACATTCTAATTAAAACAGTCGGTTGGAAGAAGCAAATTCCAGCTAATACAATAGTCCATTGTTCTATTTCACATTTATACTCTCTTCCTTTGATATTTTGCCAAACGTCTCCAAATAGATACAACTTTCCAGATCTTATTCATCTACTTGGCAATACTTGCTCTCTCTACTCAGCTCTATAATTAAACATTAATTAATTTGCAGCAATTAGTACGCCAATATATAAGTTCCCCACTGTTCTTTTGCTGTGATACCATGGAGGGGGGAAACTGATATGTTGCTTTTCTGCCCAGTTATATAGGAAAGCTTATGAATTAAGATTCTTAGCAAGGTTGGAGTTCTGTGGTCCTATGGGAAAATCCCTTGTCTGGAACATTAGAAGTGGAACTCTTGCAGAGTTTGGCATCAAGAGTATAATAGATCCAGACTATTATAGATTAAGAGTTTGGGGCAGTGTGAAGACTGAAGGGCATCCCCTTCTATGCCCATCAGGTCTGGTCAACCCAGAGATTTCATATATTATAATGTCTTTTGACTATCTCTGCATTTCCATGAATCACTAAAAGAATGCTCTGAGCTTCTGCATAGCCAACCCCACCTCCCCATATTTCATTACCATGTCTCCCCAAAAATAAGCCCTCCCCAAAAAATAAACCCTCCCCTGAAAATAAGCCTTCCCCAAAAATATTTAAAGGCATGCGCAGCCAGTTCCCACCATTTCCTCTGGTTAGGGTTAGGGAGACAGAGCTGGAAATCGGGTAAGACGGCAAGAGGAGCCCTGTCTTGCTCCATGCGCCCCAAAATAATAAGACCTCCCCAAAAATAAGGCCAAGCGCTTATTTCAGGGTTCAAAAAATATAAGACAGGGTCTTATTTTCGGGGAAACACAGTAGAATGCTTAATGCCCCCAATACTTGAGTCACCAGAATGTATTTCTGAAATCAATAGCATAAAACAGAGAATTCTTCTAGAAATGCCCCACTAAAATATGCTATATTTAAATGAGGATTTGCCTTAACTTCATTTTAAATGTATTTTTTTCCAATTATACCTTGGTTTTACACCATTCTTTGAAACCTGCTTTGACGTTTCCTACTTTTTTGTTTCAACTGAACATGTTAAAAGCACCAAACCATGTTTCTGTCATCCATGCCATAATGGAATTGACTTTGGTGCGCCATACAATTTAAAAATAAAAGAAATGTGTGCTAGATTTCTTTTGTATCCTTAGCAGCTGATCTATAAATAAGCAGACAGTTTTCAAAACATCTGGAAAGTTGTGTGTTTTCCTTTTCCTTTTCATTTTGTTGCTGAAAATAGCTGAATGTTTTGCATTAGCAGTATCTGTTATAAGTGGGCTAGCAAAATGAATCATTCTTAGACCTAGTTATTTGTCATCCTGTTGCAGAGTGTACTGTATATGATGTGACATATAGCCCAAGAAAGCTGTAAAAATATGACTACATTCTAAAATGCCAAATTTAAGAAATAGAAAACAGAAAGAAAATAGGTGATGTAATAAGTTTTACTTCAGGTTGTTGGACTATGGTTGTTCTTTTCATCTCTCTTACTCTCTCTTTCTCTCAGGTTTGTATCATTTCACAGTTTTGGAAGACATTGCTGTCGGCGATGCGATAGGAAGGGTTAAAGCGAATGACCTGGACATCGGTGAGAATGCGAAGTCATCCTATGACATTATTGAAGGAGATGGAATGGATATCTTTGAGATCACCTCTGACTCTCAGAGTCAGGAAGGCATTATTAGATTAAGAAAGGTAAATGGCATGGGAAATGGAAGAAATGTTGGTTTGTGGATCCTGGCAATAAGCAAAGTAGTTCTTAAAACAGAGGTGCACAATTTTGGGTGGGGACCAGAGAAGATATGGACCACCAGCTCAAGAAATATATTTGATTTCATAGCTACCATGGTTGATATCAAAAAGACTAGGCAGCAGGATGTGACTGGTTTAATAGATTTCTTGGAAGATCACCCAGAAATCTAAGAAAGATAAATTGAGTTGAGAAGTCAAAAATACAACCCAGAAGAGAATAATGAAAAACCATTTTGGAAAGTATTTAATAAGGCTGTTTCATTCATTCAGATCTCGGATGTCTTCTGCTTGTGTTCCCTTTATTTTTTTGAGCAGTATATTTTACCTAATATGTTCTTGACAAATAAAATAAAATAAAAATCTGAACAACAATATACTCTTTTCTAATACAGACTGTGTTCTATGGTCATTATGTTTAATTGGTATTTTCTGTATCTGGTATTCTGACCTAGGCTTCCTTAGAAATTAAACAGCACAAACGTAGTCCCAGCAAACCTCTTTAATTCATATGACTGTAAATTACTTTTGTTAAGGATATTGTTGTGTTAACAACCAGCAGAGCATAGAGCTATATAAACTTGTTGTATTTCTGAGAAAATAAGTTCCTTCTCATGCAGCTCTTGGAAAATTCTGTTCATGGATTCCAAATGAACCATCATATCTTCTCCTTTAAGAAGATGTTGTTTAAACAATTTCCATGTGAGATATATATGAGCACCCACACTATCACAAACATATAAACTCTTCAACTTGGTCCAACACCTAGCCGCAGAATCTTCGCCACGAATGTGGACAAGCTGCTGGTCACTCAGTGTCAGTCCAATTATACAAAGAGCTCATTCATTATCTCGGTTAAACTTGGCTAATTTCATTGCATCTTCATCGTCATCAGGATTCCATGCTGTTACATCCGGTGGATTATTAACTACGTCCCACAGTCCATCTCTATGCTGGGCAAGAGGTTATACATTTGTACCCAGGTGACACACTGTTTAATGGAAGATGGATTGTTTGTATAAAAATAAAATATATTTTTTTACATATATATATATATATATAAAATTAAATATTTTCCCCAGCCTTTAAATGTTGCCTTTCTCTGCTTTATATCAGAAGCTACTATTTACTTCTTCTATAGATTCACGGAGAGTGACTATTCTAGAGATTTTAAGTTTCAGCTGTGTTCAGCACTCATTAGTAGATCCTGGTTGCAATCAAGCACATAGTTTTCACTTAACACACACCATAATAGATGCATATCTGTTATTGTTTTAATTTCAAATATGCTTTAAATAATAATAACTTTGTGCATTTGGAGCACTAAGCTGACAAACGCTTTGGACTGGTATGATTTATTGCTGCTGAATTTGCAACGGTTCAAATGATACCGTTGTGTGATTGGCAAATTGTGTATATGCTGATTTCCAGCAACCTATTCATCGGTACAAAGATGTAGTAATTTCTGAGTTGGCAGAGAGGCAAGTGCTTGTCATGTTTACTAAAAATGGCAAAGTTACATTAGAACTAGATTCAAAAACTCTGCTGATTTTTAAAAAAAGATACGAAAATATGAATATATACTTAAGAGACTTTGTGAAAGAGTTCTGGAATTTTTATTTGTGCTCTTGATATTTGCATTGCAGATTTAAGCTTCTCTATGTTTCTTTTCTCCTTCTCTTTGTTCCATTCTATGGGACATTGTGATGCAAATTTATATATCTTTCAAAAGCTTGACAAATTTGTACATTTGAAATGTTAATCATTGTGAGGCATCAAAGGGTTGGGTTGTGAATCCGCACATGCCAATGTTCTTGAAGTTGCGGTAGATATTAATCTTAGATGGTCATAAAATTTGTGATGTCTTATAACTCTTATTATTATTTCTTATCTGCATGTTTCAAATATTTATGAGCAAAACCAATCAGAAGTGTTTCTCTCCAAGGCCTATAGAAATGATTGGCAAATTGCGAATATGAATATCCAATCACTCTTGCTCTATAGAGATGCTGGGAATCTGAGAGTTTTTCTTTTCTTTTTCTTGGCACTTCTGATACAAAGATCATTTTGCATATAGCATGTACAATTGACTTAATTGCACATCAACTTATGTATCCAGTTATTGTACGAGGGCTGTTTCTCTCATAGTACTGTCTTTTGGAATCCTTATGCAAATAATAATAATAATAATAATAATAATAATAATAATAATAATAATAATAATGACCGACCGGTTCCCTCACACAGAGAGGGCCTCCTCAGGGTGCCGTCGGCCAGGCAGTGCCGGCTGGCGACCCCCAAGGGGAGAGCCTTCTCTGTGGCAGCGCCTGCCCTCTGGAATGACCTGCCCCCTGAGATACGCACAATATCAGACTTTTCGTCGGGCCCTGAAGACACACTTGTTCCATCTAGCTGGGCTGGCTTGATCCCACCCTCTTAGTTTTTAATCGAATTTCGGTTTTAATTGGGTTGTTTTAAATTCGGGCCAAAATTATTTAATTGTTTTTTAAAATGTTTTTAAATTTTATATGCTATGTTTTATCCTGGCTGTACACCGCCCTGAGTCCCGCAGGAGAAGGGCGGTATAGAAATATAATTAATTAATTAATTAATTAAATAAATAAATAAATAAATAAATAAATAAATAAAAAATAATAATAATAATTCTTTATTAAATAAGAATTTTACAAAACACATCAAGAAACTGCAGCTTCCTGCAATAACACCAGCGCAACTGCAAAAAACTGTGCTACTCGGAACATCGTACATCTTAAGAAGGTACTTGGCTGATACCTAGGACGATGGCAGCAACCCGTATCAACCATTAGCACCAGTCAATGGTATTTGTGATGGATTTTTGAATGTTCAGTTGACTGAGTTTCATGTTTAATGAATAAAAGAGATAATAATAATAATACCCTTTGGCACTGGCAAAATCACCATCCGTCAATTACAAAGGGCAACTTTATTTGGAACAGTTTAGCCCCATCAAACAATATCTGTCTACCCCAGGTCCTTATGAAGTTGATAGGTAGATGAGAATGCCAAGTCCAATCTAAACATCTGGCTGACTGTATGACCAATAATAATAATAATGAATAGATACCTGTACTCTAGTGTTTCGGGAGCAAATGTGAAGAGACAGAATAACTCACTAATATAATCATATTTATTCAGATCTTCAGTGCATGTATGCACTTAACAACTCTTCTCTTCAAAGTAACTCTCTAAAACCTGTAATTCTAATAAGAAGGCTTAAAACATCTATGAAAACAAATGATCACGTTGCTTAAATCTCTAAAGCTGTGCTCCATCAGTTTCTCAATAATTAAAAACTATATTCACCTTCTTAATTCTTTGAGCTTCAGCTTAACAGCCAGATAATTTCCTTGCAAGTTGTGCTCTCAATGACCAACTCTAAAGTCGCATTAAACCAATAGTGGGGTCTCTTTAAGTCAGGAGAAAAGAACATGGGCCATGTTTAAATGGGGACTTTAAATGTAATTTTGAAACTCACTTATGCCATGAAGACAAAATTGTTCTCTTTTTTTCTCAGAGGTTTATTGTTGTTTTTACTCGTAACTGTTTTTCCTGTTACATGTACTGTTACCCTGTTTCCCCTAAAATAAGACATCCCCTGATAATAAGCCCAATCGTGCTTTTGAGCACATGCACTAAAATAAGCCCCTCTGAAAATCAGCCCTCCCCCAAAATATTTAAACACATGAGCATCTGGTTCCCGCCATTTCCTCTGGTTTCCTCCATGCGCCCCAAGCTAATAAGACCTCCCTGAAAATAAGGCCAAGCGCTTATTTCAGGGTTCAAAAAATATAAGACAGGGTTTTATTTTTGGGGAAACATGGGTATGTTCTTGCCTTTTTTGAATTGGAGTTATTATGATTTGAATCTGAATGTAGTTGGCCTCTCAGACATGAATGTTTCTATTTTTGCTAATACTAATGTGTTAAATTCCAAGCAAAACTAAATGTCTGTTGCACCACCTTGAAAACTTTTCCATTCCTCCAATGCTGCTTTGTTTAACTGTACCAGAAAGTTAAGCTTCAAGAGAGATATTGTAAAAGTCTCTTGATCGTTATAATACACAACTATTCTTATAAACTTCAGTTAAATGGATACCACAATGTTCCTCTCCCCATATAACTAGATCTCAATTGTTCTGACTTGTTTGATCTTAATCAAAGAACAATACCTTCAGTCTGGAGTTTTTTTTCCCCACACATTTCTACAAACAATAGAATTCTTCTGCCACATGAAACTTGTTCATTTCTCTCTCTTTGCTCCTTAACTACAGTGAACAGAATGACAATTAGCTGAGTTATTAATATGCAATGTAGGTCATTAGCAGTAAAAAAAAAAAACTTTCCATAGCAAAAGAAAAAGAGAAAGAGAAAAAAATCCAAGTGAGAAACCTTTATATGTGTTATTGTTTTCTTTTAAAAAAAATAATAATAAATGGAGATTGCAAATCTCCAATTTGGTGGGGTTTCACTAAGGCTTACCAAATAAATGAGACATTAATAAACACTCGTGAAATTGGCAGCCACAAGAAAAGAAAGGGAAAAGGTCAAGAAATGGAAGAGAAGCAGATGTATCGTCACTGCATTGTCTTGTTCTTGCTGTTGTGATCATCTAGAAAAAAAAAGCTTTTGTGTTTCTCATTCTTAACAGCCCTTGGATTTTGAGACCAAAAATTCATATACGCTGAAGGTAGAAGCAAGCAATATGTATATTGATCCACGTTTCATCAGCATGGGACCCTTCAAAGATACGGCAACATTAAAAATTGTAGTGGAAGATGCTGATGAACCCCCAGTCTTTTCATCACCAACGTATCTACTGGAAGTGCATGAAAATGCTGCAATTAACTCCGTGATTGGTCAGGTGACCGCCCATGATCCAGATGGATCTTCAAGCTCTATAAGGTACTCCTGCTTTAAAACAATTCTTCCTGTTGAACAATAACAATAGCAATAGCTTAGACTTATATACCTAATATATCTAATAGCTTAGACTTATATACTATCTTACAGTGCTTTACAGCCCTCTCTAAGCGGTTTTACAGAGTCAGCCTCTTGCCCCCAACAATCTGGGTCCTCATTTTACCCACCTCGGAAGGATGGAAAGCTGAGTCAACCTTGAGCCTGGTGAGATTTGAAATGCTAAATTGTAGGCAACCGGCAGGCAGCAGAAGCCGCCTGCAGTACTGCACTCTAACCACTGCGCCACTGTGGCTCAAAGGGCTCCATAGTGCATGATACCTGATGTACCATCTCCAATCTCCAGTTCTGTTTGATGCCCCCCCCCAAAAGAAAATTTAGGCATTAAATTTAGTCAGATCATTTTTCCACCTAAGTAAAGTCAACTCTGTCCACGGTTTTCCAGATTTTCAAATAAGAGGAATCTTTTCTTTGTCTGACCTAGAAATATTGGTTCCTCAATTAGTAAACTTCTACATACTATGCCACTAAGCTAGTGGGCACATTTACAAATAAAATAGACATGTATAGTCCTATGATCTTTATTTTCCAACTGTACTACTGTTAGAAAATGCAGCTACTGTAATTCATTTGTGAGAGGTGGTTGTTGTTTTTTTTCCATTAGAAATAATGTAAATGATATCTGGTAGGTCTTTTATTGTATTGTTCTTTTGGTCATATGGTGAACTGCTAAGAAACTTTTGACTGCAAGAAATAATAAGTCTAACGAAACAAATACACCCACGCGTATGCTTTGATATAAAAATGATTCTGGAGGCTGGTGTTTTCCTTTGCAGCAGGCTAGCTTAAATGTTAAATATAATTAAAAGAACATTTGTATATTTTATTTTTTTTAAAAAGTGATTTAAAAGCGGGCACTGTATTGAAGATCCACCTACTCCATTTTTCTCTCTTCCTCTTCCTCCTTATCCCAAAAAATTATATATAATGGCTATCAAGTGCATCTAATCCAAGAACATTTTCTGGTTTAAGGAAATATATGCCACAGATTGAATTTGCTGGTCTTCAAGGTGCTTTAAAAAAAAAATTATCTACGTAAACATTCAGGCTGATCAGAAAATGTCGTGAGGAAAAGTTCTTAAATCCATCACCTTTAGGCACTTCTTCATTTTTAATTGCTTTGGAAATGTTTCTTTGCCTCATGAGTGCAGGCCTACACCAAATTCTTTGAAGCCGCCATCTGTGCAATAGGATTATACAAGGCTGGTGGTTAATCAGATAAGAAATTTCAAGTTATTAAGTCACAAGAGGAAAAAAATTGGAGGCAGAAATTCCTGACTGGTTATTGAAAGTATATATCTTTCTGTGCCAATAACCCTATTTAAGCCTTGTGAGCATTTCCTGCCCCATAAAATCCACCACGTGTGATGGCATTTCACATGTTTTAATTAAAATGTAGAAAACTAGCATGTGTATCTGTCTCCCCTTTCTCATCTGGATTCTTTCTGATATGCATACTGATTCAGCCTTTCTAATGTTTATGATGCTTATAGCCTGCGTTTCTTTAGTTGTGTATTTTTTTAAAAAAATGTCTGTTTGCGGATCTGTGGTCTCTGAGCAAGCCAATGCTTTAATTTCAGTTCTGTCAAGCGCAAAAAATCGGGAGCCAGGGTTGATTCCAAAATGAACTATCTGTAAACAAGACTCTGAACTACTAACAGTCAAGGTAAATGGTTGGTAGAATTCCTACTGGAATTCAAATGGGGCTGAACCAGGGGTGAAATGCTCCCGGTTCGGACTGGATCGCCCGATCCGGTAGCGATGAAGATGGGTGGTTCAGAGAACCAGTAGCAAAAATCCCTGCCCCCCCATTGCCCAGCTGAGCCGTACAATCATCAGAGGCTTTTTTTTTTTTAAAGCATTTTTTCTACAATCTCTTTGGCCAAAAAAATGCTTTTAAAAGTAAAAAACAAAAGCCTCTGATGATCGTGCGGCTCAGCTGGGATCGTCAAAGGCTTTTAAAAGCATTTTTTCTACAACCTCTTCAGCCCATTTTTATAGAAAAAATGTTTTTAAAGGGAAAAAAAGCCTCTGCCGATCAGGCAAGTCTGCTGGGATCATCAGAGGCTTTAAAAGCATTTTTTTTACAACCTCTTCAGCCGAAGAGGTTGTAGAAAAAATGGTTTTAAAAGTAAAAAAAAAAAAAAAAAAAGTTGGCCATGCCCACTCAGTCATATTACCCCACCACCACCACCAAGCCACGCCCACAGAACCAGTAGTAACAACTTTTACATTTCACCACTGGGGCTGAATTTAGCTCTCTTGTGGATGCAAAGTGACTCTAAACTGATGAAGTGCTTGACCCCTCCTCCTCCTTCAGGCTCTGCCTGTTCATCTGCTACAAATTCATTTTTAATTAATAGGTTCCTTAAAGCAGTGAGGTCTTTCCCCAGGCTCAATCTCAGAATCTCTTTAGGGATGAGAGAGATTGTGCTTGTGCAAGATCCAAAACACATGTTCCAAATGATTTTTTTGAAGCATACACAGTCCTATTATAGACTCCTATATTATTAAGTAGAGCAGAATTTTGGGATTGTTGACTTTTAGCACAGACTTTGGCATTCCATATATTTCATGACAAATGATAAGGATACTATTTTCAGATATAGTGTTTATTTATTTATTTATTTATTGGTTCGATTTATATGCCGTCCTTCTCCGGAGACTTAGGGTGGCTTACAATGCATTAAGCAATAGCCTTCGTACTTTTGTATATACCTGCTTAGTAGGGCTTTCGACCCCCCCTAAGTGGTGTTCTTTTTTATACAAAGTTAACTTATTGCCCCCACAATCTGGGTCCTCCTTTTACCTACCTCGAAAGGATGGAAGGCTGAGTCAACCTTGAGTTTGGTGGGATTTGAACTTGCAGTAATTACAGGCAGCTGGTGCTACTTAACAGCACTTTAGTCTGCTGTGCCACCAAGGCTCTTGGTGTTGTTTTCTTTAGCATGGCAAGAATATTTTTCCTGGATAATTTAGCTGTTCTGTAGCCTTCATTAATATTGTTAAATCGTCACCAATGACTCTTCATGATTTTCAAAGTACTATCAAGGGACATGATGAGAGTGGGTAGCACAGCTGGATGAGTGAGCTAAAGAACTGTGATCAGGAGAATGAATGGAAAGGGGAAACAGATTATACAGAAATCAATATCCGTATGCAACTTTCCTTCTAAAGAGATTTTACATGAAACATATCATAATGTGTAGTTATGTAAATCTACCTATTGTAAGTCATCTCTCTTTCATAAACCTTTTAGCAGACAAATCTAGACATGTGTCATTTTTCCCTTTCCCCCCCTTTCTTAGCAGAATATGCTGAAATAAAATAGAAATGATTGTCATAGACAATTGAAACACAGATGATTCAAGTTCAAGAACTGATTTACTGAGAACTTTGTATTGTTCGTTTTATTTTATAAATTAAACCATAGCTAGATATCTTTCCATCTGCTCCTGGCTCAGTATGCTTATTATATAATTTAAAATAATATTTAACAAATTGATTTATTACCTTCTCCATTGTTGAAACACATCTGTTGCCATCCTAAATAGAAATAAGAATGATGATGATCTAACTCTATCCAGAATCAATTATCACTGAGCAATTATTAGCAGATCAAAGGAAGTTCATTACCAGAAATAAATTATTCAGGGATACACAACTGAAGGAGATTCCAATTTTTTTTTTTTTTTTTGGCTAAAAGTGGAAGATCCAATACAGTAGTAGAACATTTGAAGGAACAACAAGTATAAATATAGAGGAAACAGCTGATATGAACTACATAAATGATAACTTAGAAGAAGTAATAACAACAGAATCAGTACAGGCCAGCAATGCGGCAAACTATAAACTGACCTCCAGACAAGATGAATTAAAAAAGAAAAATGTGTTATGTGCAGAACTAACAATAGACGCGGTGGCTCAGTGGCTAAGATGCTGAGCTTGTCGATCGAAAGGTTGACAGTTCAGCGGTTCGAATCCCTAGTGCAACGTAATGGGGTGAGCTCCCATTACTTGTCCCAGCTTCTGCCAACCTAGCAGTTCGAAAGTGCATAAAAAATGCAAGTAGAAAAATAGGGACCACCTTTGAAAGTTTGAAAGTTTATTAGATTTCTATACCGCCCTTCTCCCAGGGTACTCAGGGCAGTGTACAGCCATATTAAAACACATAAATTTATAAAATTTAAAACCAATTAAAATCAAATATATAAAATTTGGCCCTCAAATTAAAACACACATACGCCCATTTAAAATTCATATTAGGCCAGTCCGGCTTGCTGAAACAGAAGGGTCTTAAGGGCACGGTGAAAAGTACGCAGGTCGGGGCTAAGACAAAGCTCTAGGGGCAGCTCATTCCAAAGGGCTGGTGCCCCCACAGAGAAGGCTCTCCCCCTGGGTGTCACCAGTCGGCATTGTTTGGCCAACGGCACCCTGAGGAGCCTGTCTCTGTGGGAGCATATTGGCCAGTGGGAGATTGTTGATGGCAGAAGGCAGTCTCGTATGTACCCGAGTCCTAAGCCATGGAGCACTTTAAAGGTGGTGACCAACACCTTGAATCGCACTCGGAAGACCAACGGGAGCCAGTGCAGCTCGCGCAGGAGGGGTGTTACTTGGGTGCGCTGAATCTCACCCATAACCACCCGCGCGGCCACATTCTGGACCAGCTGGAGCCTCTGAGTGCTCTTTAAGGGGAGCCCCATGTAGAGAGTGTTGCAGTAGTCCAGGCATGACGTGACAAGGGCATGAGTGACTGTGCGCAGGGCATCCCGGTCCAGAAAGGGACGCAACTGGTGCATCAGGCGAACCCGATAGAAAGCTCCCCTGGCCACGGCCGTCATGTGATCTTCCAAAGACAGTCGTGCATCCAGGAGAACACCCAAGTTGTGAGCCCTCTCTGAGGGGGCCAGGGTCTCACCCCCAAT